AACGAAGATAAGAGTTCATACTACATGCATTCAAAGGTTGCTAATGGATTATTTCAGGCAGTTGGAGCTATTACAGGATTTGCAAGAGGTAAATTCCCATTCACATATCTAGGGTGTTCTATTTTTTTACACTAGAAGGAGGAAGGACTATTATGAGGATCTTATCAAGAAGGTGAAGGCTAAACTGCATTCATGGAAAGGAAAGTTGCTGTCATTTGGAGGAAAGGCAACACTCATCTCTAGTGTGTTACAAAGTATGCCAGTTCACATGTTATCAGTCCTTGATCCACCAAACAGCGTCCTGGGGCATCTACATAAGACTTTTGCTAGGTTCTTTTGGAGCACAAAGGAAGAAGGGAGAAGCAGACACTGGGCTTCATGGCAAAATCTTTACCTTCCTAAAGAGGAAGGGCCCCTAGGTTTTAGGTCCTTAAATAATGTCTCAAAGGCACTATTTGCTAAACTATGGTGGAGGTTTAGGACCACAAAATCTTTGTGGTCTAATTTCATATGGAATAAGTATTAAAAGAAGGAGCTACCAATAGTGGTGCATTTTAGGGGAGGGTCTCATGTTTGGAGATAAATGTTGAATGCTAGGGAAGAAGTAGAACATGAGATCGTATGGGAATTGAAGAGTGGAACAACTAATATTTGGCATGAAAATTGGACTGGATTGGGTGCACTATATCACGTATTACCTGAAGACTTTCCAATCAATGAAGGTCTTCAGGAGGTGGCAGAACTGCGGCAAGGGGAAACATGGGATGATCAGCTGCTAGATCAAACTTTCAATGAGGAAATTGCAGAACATATAAGGCTAAATGTGCATTATGAAGGCAGGAGGGATATTGGGATAGGCCATACTAGATGCTAACTCCTTCAGGCAAGTTCAGTGTTAGCAGTGCTTGGCAAATATTAAGGCATAAGGCTGATCCTAATCAGGAATTCAAGTTAATGTGGATTAAAGGTTTGCCATTCAAGATATCCTTCTTCTTGTGGAGATTGTGGAGGCAGAAAATAGCCACTGATGACATGTGGAGGAGGCAAGGGCAAATGGTGATGTCTAGGTGTTGGTGTTGTCAGCAGCCCCAAGAGGAATCCATTGAGCATATATTTGTCACAAGTCCTACTGCCTCTAAGGTATGAAACTTGTTCATGGGGGCTGCTGGAATTTTTGTACAATTGATTCAATTAAAGCAGATTATAAGGCATTGGTGGTATGCTCAGTGTTATCCAAAATTAAAGCCACTATTTCAAGCAGTACCAACTATCATCACTTGGGAGCTTTGGAAGAGAAGAAATGCAGGTAAACATGGTGGTTCAGTGTCCACAAATAGGGTGATTCATGAGATAAATAGGACATTGCATCAACTGGCAAGGGTGAGGTATGCTTGGATCCCTAATATTCCATTGTTATGGCCAGACATGATTCAATACTTTGAAGGATATAAACCTATATTGATCACTACAAGAGTAACATGGCAGCTTCCTTCTCATGGTTGGTATAAATATAATACTGATGGAGCTTCAAAGGGAAATCCTGGACCTAGCTCCCTAGGCTTTTGTGTGAGGGATGATGAAGGTGATGTAGTATATGCTAGGGCAGTAGACCTGTGAGTGACAACTAATGTGGTAGATGAAACTAAGGCTATTCTTCAAGGGTTGGAATATTGTGTGGAGCATGATCTTCACCCTCTCATACTGGAGACTGATTCATTGGTGATGAAGAAGGTGATAGAAGGGGAATGGGATCCTCCCTGGATAATTGCACAGGATGTGAAGAAAATTATAGAGATGAAGGACAACTTCAATGTGATCTTTCAACATGTGTTCAGAGAAGGCAACTCAGTGGCAGATTTTATGGCTAACATTGTGTTCTCTTTTGCAGGTACATCTGAGTTTCATTCATTCTCTGAACTGCCTAGTGCAGGGAGGAGGTTGATCAATCTAGAAAAATCTCAATCACCTAACCTTAGGGTTAGGATAGCAAAGAGAATAACCTTAGACTGATGGCTTCACAGGATTGGACTCTGCACAAACCTGCATGTTTCTTTGTCTCATTCAGTATGCTATTAAGGTACTTTCCAATGGTATTAGCATGGTCCCATGCTCATTCTGGGGGTGCTTTGATAATGTACAGAAAAATGCAATAAGCAGGTGTGGGATGGTACAATTTATCCTACTTTTGATATGTCCAAATGCTAAGGAAAATGATGAACCCATCATATGGCATATTTGGAGATTGTTGAATCATTTCTCAGTGGTATTAGCATGCTTTCATGCTCAATCTGAGGATGGTTTAGCAATATTTAGAATGATGTCTACATTAAAGGTTCTAGTAGGGAAGGATCTGACCTTACAAGATCACAAAAAGGCACAATTTCAAAGCCTGGCCTTTGCCTTGCAAAGCCTGCATAAAGCGAGCTCATGCCTGGCTTTTGCCTTGCAAAGCATGGCTAAAGCTAGCTCAAGCCTGGCTTTTGCCTTGCAAAGCCTGCCTAAAGCCAGCTCAAGTTTGGCTTTTGCCCTGCAAAGCCTGCCTAAAGCCAGCTCAAGCCTGGCTTTTGCCTTGCAAAGCCTGCCTAAAGCCAGCTCAAGTTTGGCTTTTGCCCTGCAAAGCCTGCCTAAAGCCAGCTCAAGCCTGGCTTTTGCCTTACAAAGCCTGCCTAAAGACAGGCTCCTCTTCTTCACATTAATTTTGATGAGTGAGCACATGATTAATACTTGGACAAAATTAGTCCACTGCATATGGAGATCATATAGTAGCTATACTTGGAAGACTATGATAGCTTCAACTCTGTGGTGGAGATGTTTGGAATTCATTTTAGCCTATGGACAGTATACCCTGGCGCTTGGTGAGAACTTGATAGGTGCTGCTTGGTATTTGCCAATGACAATTAGATTCATATACACTAATAGGAGAAGGAAGCATTCAACTTATCATGTTGTAATAGCTAGTTCATTAGATGTTAGCTTTTCTATCTTTTTAATAGCTAGTAGCTTCATGCAACTTCTATTTTGGTTTAGACATCTTGTAAGCTTTGGACCCATTTTGGAATTTTATTTATATATTAGCCACTAGGCAAGTGCTGTCGAGTGGTATAGTTGCTTAAAACAAAAGTCCAAAAATGAAATAATAACCTAACCCTCGGCTATATAGTACCACATCTGATCTCCCAATGTGCGGTTCGCACATTTTCAAGTTCTGCGGCCGCACAATTTTGAGTGCGGCCGCACTTCACTGTGACAACTTACCAGGCTTTGGTAAAATACTCATAACGTTCTGTACAAATGTCTAAATAATTCGTACTATATCTTCCTGGAAACTAGATTCAAAGGGCTACAATTTTTGTTTTTGAATCATCTCCAAATTCGTTGTGGATTAAAAGATATAAGTCTCCGAAATTGGACCATCGAACCTGCACAACCCCTAAGTGCGGCCGCATACAAAATTGTACGGTCCACACTTTTTCTCTGAAGTGCGGCCGCATACAAAATTGTGCGGTCCGCACTTGTCCTCTGCGGTCCACACTTTTCCTCTGAAGTGCGACCGCACTCAAAATTGTGCAGTCCGCACTTTTCCAAAAGTTCCAGAACAACATTAGAGCGCCGAAATGCCCGGACTCGCTCAAAACTCACCTCGAAGCTCACCGAGCCATTTGGGATCCCGTTCAATTATACCAACCAGTCCTAAAACATAACATGGACCTGCTCGGGGCCTCAAACTGCATCAAACATGGTCGAAACTATGAATCACACCACAAATCGAACTTATAAATTTCTAAATCTTCCAATTTCTAAAACTCATGCCGAAATATATCAAATCAATCCAGAATGACCTCAAATTTTGCACATGAGTCATAAATGACATAATGGAGGTATTCAAATTTTCAGAATCGGATTTCGATCCCGATATCAAAAGTCAACTCCTCGGTCAAACTTCCAAACTTAAATTTCTATTTTAGCCATTTCAAGCCTAATTTAGCTACAGGCTTTCAAATAATTTTCTGAACACGTTCCTAAGTCTACAATCATCATACGGAGCTATTGGAATCATCAAAACTCTATTCCAGGGTCGTTTGCTCAAAAGTCAACTCTCTGGTCAACTCTTTTCTTTTTAAGCTTCTTAAATAAGAATTGTTCTTCCAATTTGATCCTGAATCATTCGAAAATCAAACTCGACCACACACGCAAGTCATAATACATATCACAAAGTTGCTTGGGACCTTAAGTCACTGAACGAGACGCTAATTCACAAGATGACAAGTTGGATCGTTACAAAAAGCAGTTGTGATTTACATGTCACATTTTACTATTGCGTTTTATATCTCGCATTTGTTGATTGCAATTTATAAATCGCAATTAACATATATCGATCGAATGAATGTAATTTATAAGTCGTATTTGTTTAGCACTACGATTTATAAGTCATAAGTCACTTTTGGTGACGGCTACTTATAAGTTAGCATTTGAAAACTGCACTCTATAAATCACATTTCTATGTCGCATTTGAAATTGCGGTTTATAATCACATTTGTTAACTACGATTTATAAGTCACGTTTAGGAATTGTGATTTATAAACATGATGTACGTAGGCGATATAGTGGTATAAGACTTTTATAAGTTGACTTTGCAATTTAAGCTAACAACATCCTAAGCTGTCTGTTATCTCAATGACTTATATCCCATATGAATCTCATTTTATATGCGAGTTTGCACATTGATATGACTTTGTTGTCTTAAAAGAAACAAATGACTTTGATATGATATTTTCATAAATTGGGTGATCATCAAAGTAATTTACTATCGAATATTGATTGGCTTGTTTGTGCTAAAAAAGAAAATTAAATTGATTGGTTAGGACTACAAATAATTAAAGTGAAAATGCTACGGTCTAAAATCTAAATCCAAAATACTTACATTCATTGTGGGACCAAAAATGTACTATAGTGGAATTTAAAGGACCAGAAAAAAAGAATTTAATGGAGGCTGGGGCGGCCCTAAATTCAACGGCTATGAAAGGCATTTGAGATTCACAAGACAATTTCAAAATTTGAAAGAAGGCTTTTGTTCCCCCTCTCGCACAGACACCGCAAGGAAACAGGAAGAAAAAGAAGCAATGGAGAAGGTAGGAGAGTGCGTATTGGATCCAGAGACGGAGTTCTTAGCGTCAAAGCAAGAGACAGGTCACGAGTGGGAACTTTTCAAGGAAAATGTTAGACCTTTGAAGAGAGGCCGCAATGTTCAACTCCTCAACAATGCCCTCAAGTCTAATACTGATTTTCAACTCAAGAAATCTCTTCTTGACAAGCGAAGGTTCTACCCTTTCCCCTTCCCTACCTTTTAATTTGCATTTCAGTTCGTCATTTTGATTTGTTTAGTGATTTGTATGTCTAAATTGAGCGGAATGGATATTGATAATTCATATATACGATGTAGTAGTAGTTGTTATTGCTGCATTTTCAAAGTTTCTTTATTAATTTACGAACTCAACTCTTTCCGTTGCGGGATGATTAGGGCTTTGATCGAAGCAATTGACCAATACAAAGGTGAAGATCCTCTTCAGCCATGGCTCCAGTGAGTGCTCTTCTTTTGGAACAAAATTGATTCTTTTCTAAAACACTTCAGCTATCCTTTTCTTCACCTTAACATTTTTTGAACTGTTTAGCCTTTTAATCTTCCATGAACTCTGCATTGACTCAGTTGCTGACATAATTTTTTCATTAAAATTGTAAAGGTGCATCAAGTGGGTGCAAGAGTTTTTCCCTCCGGGTGGGGACAGTTCTGGACTTGTTGTTATTTATGAACAATGTGTCCGCACCTTTTGGCACGATGACCGATACAAGGATGACCTCCGTTACTTGAAAATGTGGCTGGAATATGTCCGTTTGCTTTCTTCACATCCATTCTTTTGCCCCTTAATCTCTCTTCATTTTGGTATATGAGTTTGCTCACTGATAGCTCGTTGCAGGCTGAAAACTGTATGGATGCTGAAGTCATCTATAGCTTTTTGGAGGCTAACAAAATTGGGCAGACACATTCTTCATTCTACATAGCCTATGCTTTGCACATGGAATCTCAAAATAAAATTAAAACAGCAAATGAGATCTTCAATCGAGGACTATCCATGTAAGTTCTGTTCCCATTGGGCCCTTAGTTTAATTTTTGTCATTAACTTATGTTCTTGCATAATTGACATTTGCGATTCAGTTGGCAGTCAAGGGAACATGGTTTGGTTACGGAGAAGTTATGCGTCATATCTTGTCTATGACGTGAGATGTGTTATTCAAATGTGTTATTGAGTCGTACTCTAATATTGCTGGTTAAGTAGCTTATGTGGTGTTAAGCCTAATGATGGCTACTAGAGTTGTGATTGCTTTAATTATATGCTAGTATTGCATATTGGCGGGGTAGGGGGTTAATGTCTTAAGCTTCTCCAAAGTGAGTTCAGTTGCAAGTACGATGCGGCACAGAAGATTTTTGTGCTGTCGCATTAACATTGACCAACTAATTTCCTTACCCTGAACACTAAAACAAATTGATTTGATTAGCTTGTCACTGTGGTTGATAAGTAACTATTAAAGATATGGATATGTNAATAAAACCAGTTGTTGCTGATACCTTCTTCTCGGTTCCTTCTTCCATAACCAGAGCTCGGAGAAGGAAGAGATAAGAGGGCCCTATGGAGAATGTGGTCAGAAATCCATAATAGAGTCCGACCACAACAACCGAATTGATTATCTTCATGCATAAGGATACTAGATTACCTAGTAGAAAATATTGAAAAAAATCACAAACCTCCCTTATTTCTTTTCTACTGCAATTTCTGGATTATTATATGATGATTTTTGAACTTTCCATATATAGAAAGAAATAGAGATAGACTAGAAACGACAGGCATGGCAGCATCGAAATTAGCCACAGTTCATTGAACTTTGCTTGAGAATACACAATCTGGTCTAATATTTTATAACTTATGTAGCATGATTTTATACTCATGAACATTTCATGACCTCTATTTCTTGTTCGCATGTCACCTTCCTGAGGGGGACCTCTTACATTATCTCTCTACTTGTTTAACTTCTGATGGATGTAAATTCTATGATGCTAACTAAAATTGTCGGCAGAGTAATGTTAGAGCAGTTGAAGATTCTAATATATTTGGCAGGTTATTTTTGTGGATGCTCAATTGGTTTTTAAGCTGTTAATACCATAGGCAATAGTTGTATTAACGAGTATTTTCAATTACCATTTCTGGTCTTAAACTCAAAAGTGTATATCAATATAATTGTCCACAAGAGACAATGTTCATGAATCATTTCTAAAGATACAGTTAATATTAGTACAAAAAACTGGTTATACTAAGTAATGTATCCAGCCTGTTCTCATCTATTAATTGGCCTCCTATTTACTAACCCTCTTCATCTGGTATATGATTAAAATTGCATTGTCTCCTATGAATTAGGAATGCAAAACCTGAAGAGAAATTGAAGGAATCCTACAAGAAGTTTGTCATTCGTTCAATGGGACGCCCCAAAGCAGCAGAGGTATCAACTGTTTCGGACTTATCGTCTTCTGAAGTCCCTTATCGTTTGCTTTGTTTTGCTTTAGTAGTGACTTACTTTGTATTTTCAGGAGGAGCTAGCAGAACATCAGCTTCCAATGAGAAGCTTTGGGACACTGTTGGAAAGGGGGGAAGCTCGTAAGTGCATTTCTATGTTGAAGGTTCAGGGTGCCTGCTGGCTTTTTCGCTAACATTCTTCATGCCTTTGCAGGAAACCAAACAACAGGAACTTCTGATTTGTCTCGGAAGAAAATGAAACAGGATAGGTAAGAGCAAGTCACCTCTGTTTTATGGACAAGTTACTTTTGTCCCTGCATTATTTCTCAGTAAAACTGTCCAACGAAATCTGTGTTGTTGATTCCTATCATCACTTGGTTCAGCTGCCATGTCAGCCAAAAGCTCAGAGTTTGACAAGTATTTGCTTTAAGTACCTAAAATTCTTTCCAATGTGGATAAACATGGTTATGTAATTCACCTGGAAATGAACTTTGGGGGTGATATTGCTGCTTAATCCATACTTAAGGAAAGGAGTAAGGTTGCAGGAAGCCAGGAAATATTTAATTTGTGCATGCCTTGGTGCAGTAAAAGCACTAGCTCATTCTTATCCATTTTGCAGAGCTCAAGGGAGCCTGCTATCCATTTACAAAGATACAAATGCTGGAATGTCATCAACTGTTCAATCGGAAATACCAAAACTAGAGAACAAATCATGGCACTGTCTTGGTGCCCGAGCAGAAAGGAACAAGGAGAATCAGGCAATTCCTTCCAAGTGGACATCTAATAAGGTCAATTTGAGACCAGAAAGTTTTTATGTGCAATGAGATTTTATTCCAAGCAGATACGAACAAGAACTCATTAACAAAAACATCCTCTTACAGGTTCCTCAAAGACACGGGCTTAGAAATCGAGGAGCTACTACCACCGGTGCATGCCTAGAGATCTTCGTGGATGAGGAATGTGCCAAGTGAGTATCTAGAACACATGATTTCTGTTTTACAATAGCTGAAAATTTACATCAAAGTTTTTGGCTTTTGTAATTGTAGTAGTTTCATATTTTAGCACAATAATAGAATCTTGGGTTGGCTTTTTCTTCCCTCCTACATCTCTGACAGAACACATGAGAAGGAATCTGTTGGTGGAAAGGTTTCTAGTTTACAGCTTAGACGTGGAGATGATAAAGACATAAAAAAGTAAGCATTAACTTGGTTTCATTGTAGTTCTTTATTCCAATAGCATGAAGGCCCCATTTTGACAATGTCACTTGTTTGCAGGGAAACCGAGTTGCTGAGGGAGAACCCACTGCGTTATTTTCCTCCAACCTCTTTACCTAGATGATCTGACAGAAAAGAAAAAAGCACAATCTTGTGTGATGGATTTTCTCTATCTCAAAATTTCTCAACCTGTTTCATAAAAGTGTAGGAAGAAAATTCCTCCTTGCCCAGTGCAAGCACTTCACAAATTTTCTAAGAATATTGAGTGGAGCAGTTGAAAGAGACATTGTGGTTGTAATACATGTGTCTTTGGATTTGGCAGGCTTGAGCCAAATCCTTTAGAATTCTTGACGATTTAGATGAGTGATTTTATATGATTGCAAGAGTTATCATGGATGTGCATTATCATAATTTTGCTCTTGACTGAAGAGTTCTGTCATCCTTGTAATTTGTTTTTCCTTTTTTTGTTTCCTCTTTTGTTATATGCTGATGATGTAAGTAGAGGTTAGTATCCTCAAAAGACAAACAAAGAATAAGGAACAGACTGAAAGTTCTCGTCGAATGTGGTTTCTTTTAAAATAAAACAAATGAAAATTGAATGCTTTGAGAAAATGAACATGAATAGAGCAAAATGAACAAAACCTACTTATACAATTGCCTTCGAGTAGTTTGTAAATATTTATGGTTGAGTTAATAATTCGTTGTTGAAAATGAAATTAAACAATAGCGTGAACAAAGAAAGGATAAGTGTCTAAACATTAGGATTATACCTTTAATCCGACTGGATGAACATACAAAAGATTGGAACATCTTGTTTTTTGTCGTCATTCTCTTTCGAATTGAAACTAAATGAAAATTCATGTAAATGTGGATAACATTTTAGTTCTAGACAGTTTTGGTAGTGTGTCAAATAAATAAAGAACGGGGTAAGTGTTACACTACTGGTAATTTACATGTCGCATTTTTGCTTTGTTTAAAATCTATAGGGTTTCGAAGGGCAAGAGCATAACCCCAAAATCCACCGACATACTTTCCGTTGATCATGGCGGAGCACTTGGCTTCCATCTTCGGCACGGAGAAGGACAGAGTCAATTGTCCTTTCTACTTCAAAATTGGTGCTTGCCGTCACGGTGACCGTTGCTCTCGCCTCCACACCAGACCTACCGTTTCTCCCACTCTCCTCCTCTCCAACATGTACCACCGTCCCGACATGATCACCCCTGGCGTCGAACCCCAAGGCCAGCCTCTCGATCCCCGTAAGATCCAGGAACACTTCGAGGATTTCTACGAGGATATTTTTGAGGAGCTCAGCAAGTTCGGTGAGATCGAGAACGTCAATGTCTGCGATAATCTCGCCGATCACATGATCGGAAATGTTTATGTTCAATTTAAAGAGGAGGATCAGGCAGCTGCCACTTTGCAGGCCCTCCAGGGCCGATTCTACTCTGGCCGCCCTATTATTGCCGATTTCTCCCCTGTCACTGATTTCCGGGAGGCTACCTGCCGCCAGTATGAAGAGAACGACTGCAATCGTGGAGGTTATTGTAATTTCATGCATGTAAAAATGATTAGCAGGGAACTCAGGAGGAAGCTTTTCGGTAAGTACCATCGACATCGGGGTAGCCGCAGCAGAAGCAGGAGTCTGAGCCCGCATCACCGGAGAGACTATGACAGGCCTGACCGTCGTGACTACCGTGATTCCCGGGAACGTGACCGCAGTGGTAGAAGAAGCCACAGGAGGTACGACAGTGATGGTCCCAGAAGGAGAAGTAGGAGTCCTATTAGGGAAGGGAGTGAGGAACGCAGAGCTAGAATTGAACAATGGAATCGAGAAAGAGAGGAGAGGCAAAGCTGATGTTTTTCTGATTGATGTCTTCTGTCATCCATTTTGGAATTAAAGCTGCTTTGCGCATTTTGGTAATCACTTTAGGTTTTGTTATGCTTCTTCACAATACTAGGATGTTCGAAAAGGAAACTCCGGAAGAGGGTAGATCTTCTCCCTGTCATCTAGTGGATTTAAAATGGTATTCTTGTAGCTATTTTTTTCTTTCTGCAGCTAATTGTAAGACTGTTTAATTGTATTTGTTAAGGATGCTGATGTGGTACCCTGCTTATTGACTTCACCTATGCTATGCTATGCTTGCTTGTTATTTGAACTATATATAGTATCAGCTTTTGCATTTCATCGTCCCACATACCGTCTCCACCAAAGGCCTAACTTTGCTTCAAATGTAGGAGTATATATTGGAGATGTAATCATGAACAACTTGCTGCATTGCTGGAGCATTTAGTCTAGGGATACAGAAGCAATATGAAGAAACTGATATTTAGTTTAGTTGTTTGCTATATTTTAGATCCTATCAGGACTGGATTAATAAATTGAATATGAAGCATTGACTTCTGCTGCTGCTCTGATGACAGATCTTTGCATAGTATAAATATCGCAATTAGTTTTTTTGTTTGTCTTTTTTTATGCTTTCTTTTCATTTGGTCAAATATCCATTGATGTTGTCTGTCTTGGATCTCCACAATATAAACTTTGAGATGCTGTATATGGCTTGCTTTTTTGAGGTTGATGTTATCTTCTAGTTCTCTTCTGGCACAGTTTGTGTGTATTACCTACCTCCCTATGCTTTCCTTTTCATTTATCTAATTTATCAAGGGCCAACCAGATTACTTTTCATGGGCTTCTATTGGCACCACGTACAGATATTGGTACTGCAAGAGTATTTGAATTGTTTGACCTAATTAGTATATCTTATTGAACACAATTACTTGGGAAGACGATGGGTCAACATTCCTGGCCTTTCATACGCTTGTATTAACAAATTGTTTTGCAGTAGCTTTTAGATATTATCCTTGAGCCGAGGGTATATTGGAAACAACATCTCTACCTCCACAAGGTAGGGATAAAGTTTGCGTACACAATACCTTCCTCAGATCCCACTATATGGGATTACATTGGATATATTATTGTTGTTGTTGTTATTGTAGCTTTTAGGTATTGGTTTCTAGACATTCCCACCTAAAATTTGAGCGTCTGAATTTGACGTAGCATGATTATAATATTACTGGATAGCTGGAAATGACTACCTAATGATATCTCCGAAATGTGTGGATTACTGCTCGGCTACTTGATTTTAGCGTTTCAAAACATCTAATGCGGTAAGAAGTTTGTCATTTGTACAAAATGGGTCTTCTACAAGTTAATTCTGTTATGTTTAAAGTTTTCTAAGAAATGGGCAATATTGTGGGACGAGTGGATAGTCATTTGAATGGTAGTATCCGCCCATTAACAATGTATGTGAAGAGTTATGTTTGAAAAGAGCCCATTTTCAAAATGTCTAATTATATTTCATGATGGCTGATTTATGAAGCTTTATTGGACTTCGTGATGGAGGAAAGATCCAAGGGATTGAGTTCCTCATATGTTCTCTTTATATATTTTTGGAGGTATGTTGGATAACTGAATAATTTGAATAAATGAACTGCTCAAACTTTATAATTTTCATCATTGCATTTAACAACAACAACGACCCAGTAAAATCTCACAAAGTTGGGTCTGGGGAGAGCAGTGTGTACGCAGACCTTACCCCTACCCCGATGGGGTAGAGAGGTTGTTTCCGTTAGACCCTCGGCTCAGGAAGACGGGAATAAAACAAGAAGAGACAAACCATCAGTAACGTCAGCAGAAACCGTAAAAATAATAGCAAAAGCATAAAAACCAAAAAAAAAAAAATGACATGCAACAGTAACCAGTAATTAAGGCCCGGGGCTAAGAAAAACACAAAGGATAGTGTGGACTCAATATTAACCACAAACCGTCTAAGATCAACCCTATCCAACCCCGCCTCACCCCCGGTATGAAGTGGGAAAAGCTCGACTACCCCCAGCCTACAACCCTAATGCTTGGACCTCCAGACCATCATTGCATTTAGTTATTGGATAAAAAATATCATATAAAGTCTATAATACCATTGTCCTTCTCATTGGATATTTATATGCTATGCTAGATAGATTTTGTTTAGGGGTACTTATGAGGTATGAGAATGTACAAGTATCCGCTAGAGGTACATGTATGTACAGTTTCTTGCTAATTTTGAAGAACCCACACAGAGTACCTATACCCAAATCACACTTGTTCTACACGAGTATGTCAAAGGAAATGAAGGGTTTTTTGTAACATAGTTTCTACATGCACATTTGCGTGTTGAGTTCCCACCAAACAAAAAAAAGTTTGCTCTTCACAAGAAAAGTATATTTAGCTTCTTGTGCTTTATCTTGTATTATTCTTTATATGCTTCAACCTTTTGTGATCAAATTGCCTCAAGGCTTTAATTTAATAGCAAAGGTAGTAGAACATGGATGCGTGGTAGGCACACATCACGAGTTCGAAACCTGGCTATTGAATCAAGTCTTTTATGCAAGTGGAGATCGGTAGATGGGGCAATGTGCATCCATTATCCCCTAGTTTCAGAGGAAAAAACAGTGGACATCTTGATCATCCAAAAAACGAAAAAAAAGAGGAACTTTTGTGGTCAAATTCTTATATTTCACTAATTCACAGTGATGAAATGCTTCATGCAGGTGATGCAATAATTTTCCGCAACGTATAGAAGAGACAATTGGAGAATCTTATGATAATTCTTTTGGCCTTTGAGGCTGTTTATAGCCTCAACATAAATCCTGCTAGAAGTTGCATATATCTTGTTAATAGGTAGACAATATATGGTTATACACCAATTAAAGACATTTTGGGTTACAAATTTGGTGAATTCCCTCTACTTTTTTGGTACTACCTTTTGGGACCAAGTTCGAAGCCTTATCACTGTTGACTTTGGTTATAGAAAATTTCAAAAAGAGGCTCACTGGTCAGAAAACATTAAGTTTCTCTTACCCTTTAAGGTGGACCAATTGGCAAGTCGAGAAGGAATTTACTTTTTAAAGATAACAGCCAAGAGAGCACTTAGTATAGTAGAAATATGCCCTGAATCTTTTCAGTTGGAGTAATTTTAGCCCCTGTAAATGATGCAATTTCCCTTGTAGATTTCATTAGTTCTCTTACTTTAGTTTAACAATCAAGTTGTTTGATCTTTGGATTTAGCTCCCTGCTTCAATTATTTTTTCTTGTACTCAGGAGCTTGTTCAAACTTTTTTGTAATTTCTGCATCTTCTTGATGCCAACATTTGTATTGCTTCCTCCATATGATAATAGCTAGTCTATTTTGACTAACAAGTAGATTAAATGAAGTTGTTTAAGTCCAACTTATCATGAAAAACTTGTTTAAGTTTATAAGAGATACATTAAATTTCAGGTTGGAAATGGGATAGAGTTTATTGATGTCAAATTGAACATAATTTTGGGTCTTAATTTGACCTCTTGAAGAGTGAAACTACCCATTTAAAAGAAGATTTCTTGTATTCTTGAACATAGTGGTAATATGAAGAAACAAAATTTCTATAGAATCTCCTTTCTAATCAGTGTTAATGCATTGTTTAGGGCGAGTTCTGAAGGTATGGAACACCATCTGATTTTGATGTTTGTTTGTAGACATCAGGACAGTCTGATTTTCTGGGTTGGTGTTCTGTTGGATCATCAAATCTGTCAAAGATATGGTCCATATAGCTGCTTTGTTATTTGATTGCGTTTGCTTGGAGATTTTTGTTGTTGCAGATCCACATCATACTAGCACAGGGCATAGGATACTGTTTTTGTTCCCGCTAACAGTTTGCATCTAGGAACACAATTTTGCAGCTCAGCTAAGATGTGAATAAGCTGTCGTTGTTACTATGTTTTGTTTCCTCATGTCATAAGCTTTGGTTTTAATATAGAAAAAAGCTAGTTTGTGTTTTGGTTCTAAATGTTTTCTTTCCAATGCATGTATGCACTATCGTTATGTTTCTATGCACAAGTAAATCACTTATGCACTAGCAAGCTTTACTACTTTTCTGAGTTTCACAGTTTTTCCCTTCGCCTCAATATGAGCTGAACTCCTGCAGAGCTGCTTACTGAAACTATGCCTCACTGCTATTGCATCAGTAATGGCCATGATTTTATGTGCAAATATAGGTGTAACTGCATGTATGGATCTGAAATGAAGCCAATGGTTTAACTTATAATTTTTAGGTCCATCTGTGTATGCGCAACAATAACTGGAGTGTTTTGATTACAAAGATGGCCGTGCTTTGGCCATTTTGGACTTGTATTCATTTCTATGAAGGTTCATTGAGGTTCCTTGACAATAGGTACTTTTAAATATCAATTTGGACTTTGGAGAAAGGAGAGGAAAGGAAATCCACAGAAATGCTTTCTGGATTACTTAACATTTGCTCAAAAGGCAAAAAATTCTATCGTCGCACCTATACACTTCCTCTGGTGCTTGTTTTATATATACTTAATAAAGCGTATATTTTCTTTGTGGTAATTCAGTGGTTTTAAGATGCTTATTTGCTCTGATCGTAGGTGGTATTTCCTTTTAAAAAAAGGTAGAAAATCTGTTCTTGCAAAAAAAATCCTTGGTTATTTTAGAACATACGTGGTTTTAATGGGCAATTTTGGTGATGGTTCGGAGACTTGCATCATTTCTTTTTAATCTTTACTAGTTTTTGCAAGTTGTAATTTGGTCATTCTAGTATTGCAAGCAGTTAATTTCCATCAACATTTTGGGACTTGTCTGTTGGTTATTTGGTGTTTACCCTCAAAATCGGATAACAATTAAATTTGTAAGTGGTTTTAAGGATACGCGAATTAATTTGATACAAAATAATAAATTGGATTGAAACGAATAAATAGAAATACAGTAAATTCAAACCACGCGGGGAAGATGTCTTCAGCCTTAGTGAGCTATTTGCCCTCGGCCTGGGCTCACAATGGTCAATATTGATGAATAAAAAAAAAGCTTAGAATAACGGTGAAAATAATAGTATATTTCTTTGGAATGCGTGTTACAGTGTGCTTAATGAATTATCAGACCTCCCTTTATATAGTAGGGGAACCACACTCTAAGTATAACTCTATAAAAGGTAAAAAATCTTCTGTTTAATTAATTGCTGGTTCTACATAGATACGTGCCGAGATCCACGCCGTGATATCCGGCCGGTCACGTATATTACGGCCTCCTGTTGGCCGCGCTTGATTATCGGGCGACGGTCTCCGAAGTCCTTCAGGTTTTAGGTCGGT